ACTATCCGCAATGACGCCGATGGCTCTGGGAGACAGACACGGTTTCTTCAGGATTCACACAGAAGCTTGTCTCGAACGGAGGGTTTCGAGCGTCGATGTGAAGTTGGTGATGCGTCGCATCATATACAGCTCAAGCATCCTCTCCCGCGTGGTACTACGGAGGGGGTTCCTACTCTCGTACTCCTCAATCAGTATGAGTGTGAATCAGAAATGTTTCACTCGCATCCGTTCAGCTCTCTCAATAGACGGAAATCGGGAGTTTACGGCTAAGCTTGCAGTGTATCGATTCCGGACACGGAAGAGTGATTTCTTTGATGTTGGGCGGCACAGCGGGCTAATGCTGATTGCGCCCGTTGCGGGGTGAGCTTCCGACAAGCAGATCACCCCCGACTGCCGATCCCGAGCGGGTCTCTCGTGATTTTCAAGTGGGGAGCCCCGCGCGTGAACCCTGAGTGAGATCGCGGATTTCTACACCGAGTGGCTATTAGCGCAAGGTTCACGCACGCTTTGCATCTTCTGGGAAGTAGTCTCCTGTCGTATCCTGCCGCCCCTCGAGAACTGTGCATGTGCCGCGAGTTCGCCAAACGAATAGCCACCCTCTGAGGAATCGTATGACTGGTATCACAATTCATGGCCCTGCATCCCGTATTGAAGATGTTTCGGGGGCCCATCCATAGCGGGCATTAAACTGCCGACTTATTTCATGTACCTTCTCATGTACGCATGTGCCGCAGATCACGACTTTTGTGGCTCCACGACATCTCGAAGCCGGCCGGCGCCGAGACATAGCCCCGCAAGAAGGATCCGCCGCTGCCTTATTCGGCAAAGTTAATTCCGCGGCGTCTCGATTTCTGAGCTCCGACTCGTATGCCCCAAGAACGCCGTGAGGTGGGGTGTTGTAGACCCGGCTGAACTTCCCCGCGTCGACGGGCAGTGGAGTAATTTCTGGTTTGATGATCATTGACAAGGGTTTCGTCGAGAGGGGTCGGCCCCCCGGTCACTCGAAGGGTGATGCATCGAAACACGCTTCCACGAGCGGGACGCAAGCCTGCGCGGTCATCCGCGATTACGCGAAGGATGACCGCGAATCCAGCTCCCTTCCTGTGGCAGGGCGTCGAGTTGGACAGTCCCCACCCTTTTTTCCGAGTTTGTGCATGCGGCACAGGGAGCATCCTGCGTCTGGGTAGCTGATCCGCATGCTGACCATATCTGCGAGCTCGGAATCACCATACCGTGCTGACTCTTGGGGGTTCGAGCTTCGAGTCTCCGCTTGACCAAGGCTTATCGTCTATGTCCGAACATGGCTTAATTATTTCGTATTCGGCAGAAAAGTACACATAGACCAGAGGATGCTCGACATCGTGTTCCCTGAAAAGACGGTGAATTTTTCCCGTGATTCCCGAGAAAGAGTCATCCCCTGACCTGAACACCAGGATTGTACGAGCTAATGCACTTGTCAGAAAGATCCTTTGCGCAATGCGAGGGGTTCTAAGAGGACTCGACACCCCCAGCGCACATCCAGTAGCGTACGGAGGGGGGGGGCTAAGGGGGCTAAAGCCCCTCCCAAGATTCTCCGTTGCAGTCAGATTTCGGAACGGAAATCTCCCTAAAACGAATAACTTACGAGCTTTGTGTAATTCTCTCTCGTCGTTTCCCTTAATCAAGCGTTACATCGATCGATTATCAGTAGAGTTCCTAAATTTCGGACATTTCATATCTATCCAATCCGCAAGAGCGAAGACCGACGATCACATCGACGAGGGAATCGCCTCTAATGGGTTTTCCCTGTCGCCGAACGATGTGGGAAAGACTAGAACAAGAATGCCGCAATCGAATCTATCCTTATTCGAGAGTCGGAAAATGGAAATGTCCGAAATTTAGGAACTCTAATTATCAGTAGGGATGTGAATTTTTCGCGGCAAAATATTGCTGAAATCGCGGCAAAATATTGCTGAAATCGCCTCGTCTCGCGGTGAGAAACCTCGAAATTTGCGGGATTCTCGCTCGAAGTCCTGTCGAAATTACGGAAAATCCCAGAACTTGCACCGAATTCGCGGCGACACCTGCTCCCGAACACATGTAAGCTTCGAAGGCCCGACCCTCGTGGCGAGTCTTGATCCGACCGTGTCTCCGAGCTCGTGGCCAAACTCAATGAATTTCGCGGTCGCCGCGGAAAACTTACATCCCTAATTATTCGTACCTAAGATTCACCTTGTTGAGATCATGAACATCATCATCATCACCGTGACTATTTAGTCCCCCCCCAAGAAAAAATCCTGCGTACGCTACTGCGCACATCGCTACATCCTTGTCGCGAAAGTGCCCATTCGAATCTTCGGTGCCTCGGCCGAGGGAATGAACTCAGGTATTGCTGTTTCTGTGAAACCTGATTTGTCCCCTAATCGTTTGTTTCTTAGCGAAGATGTATGTGGATTGGAGAATCGTGCGATATTTGCTACTACCCGCGGTCGCTCTCCAATTCAGTCAAGATACCGAAAAGAAAGTCGCCATTTAATGTCCAATAGAAACTAGGTGCGCAACGCTCGAACGATGGCACCGTTTTCGCCGAATCGGTGGTTCCACCAATTACAGGACGCAATCGCTTCGTTCCCGACTACTCCGACCTGATCAGCCATGCTCAGCAGGAAGCTCCGCTCAGGGAAATCGAAGGATTTTAATTGTTGATCCCGAATGCGGATGTACCCGGTTGGATTGAGGCCGTGGACCTAGTCATCCTTAGGGAATTCCGAGGTCGGCAGGAACGATCGAACCGTAGCCTCCTTTCGCGCGAGCGGCGGCCTCACTTCACGGAGCAAGAAGGCTCCTCACGAAGTGAAAAGGCTCTTAACAGGAGTAACTCTGGGGAGTAAGATCCGCCGACTCGAGAAGTCACAGAAACGCCGACGACTCGACCGCCCGTCGGTATCCATAACCGCGAACACTCGCGGTCTCCCCCCATACGTAACCACGGAAGCACTGATGGTTGCTGCGATCTCCCATGGAATTGATACTTCGTGAAGCCTATTCCTAGCAAAGATGATGTAAGAATTCCTTAGCCCAGCCAGAGTATGGTATCGACGACATTCTTCGTCGTATGAAAGGGTGATTTTCGTGGAGCGAGATTGTTTCCCCGGTCCCTGGTCGTTCCTCACGAATTGCCCCGTCCAGACTGGTCATTCGCGATTGGTATCGGCGCACGTTGACGGGCTCTCTAGGTCTCAGGAGTTCATGATAAATGATCCCGTCCCGTCCTCCTCTCCTCCTGAATCTTGCCCAGCGCTCTCCCATGGATCCTGATCGATCCCTGGGATACACCCAAGCGATTGGCGAGCTGTGAGTGAGTGTGAGCAAAATCTGCAGCTGAGAGGAACTCGGTGGTCAGCGTCGTCGAATTTTCCCGTTCCACGTTCTAGCGTTCGTTGCTTCCCGAGCAGAAACCAACGTGTAGCCGCAGTTCACGGAGACGGACGATGATTGCAGATGGAACGATTCCATTCGTTGGGAACGTTTGCTCTTACACTATAAAACACAAAGGGGGGATCGAGGGGTCGCCGGATAGTTTTGCCGCGAATAGCCACATCCCACATCGTCTTCCTCGTCCCCGAAAACGTGAACCGAGCTAGCTTGTTTCGTTCGGAAGTTCGATCACTCCGAACTTGCGCGGCGGTGAGAAAAAGGCGATTCCGTTCTGATACACCTGAATCATACACACATGTGGGTACACTTTATGATGGAGTACCCTGGATTCGACTTCAAACATCTCCCGGACGGCACGGAAATGGTCTTCCGGATGGGATGGCCCCCACCGGAGAGATCCCAGGTGCCGCGTGGGAGTGCATGATGCTCTTGGCTTCTCGATCCCTGCGCTCTGCTATGTTCGCCTATGCTCTGGAATTCTGCCCAAACTCCAATGGTCTGTACGACGGCGACATGCAATATGCCATTATTGGCACCAGACGGATGGCATGCTATAACCCGTAGAATATAGAATTGTTCAATCTTTCCCCTTTCACATCATCATACGAGAACCTCCCAGCATACCTTGTGAGAACGTGAGAGACTTCTTCGCACATGGCTTACCGCTGGATGATTTTCGCGGATTGAAAGCACGTGACCCTTATGGAATTCGATTACCTTGAATCATAAAATATAATATGTCTCCAGAAACTTTTTTCTCTCGAATTTATTCGTCTTTACCAATATGATATATGTTCGCGCATATGTTAAATGTGAGACCGACGGACGCAAGTCCGTTCGAAGATGGAATGATGGGAAGTCGACCGCTCACTATTCGATAATGTATGTGATGGGTAACTCGATTCGCATATTTGGAGATCGGCTCTTTCAAACTCTGCGTACGCTTCGCGCGATCGGGAAGGCGCCTTGGTACGTTGCTCACACAATAAACAACAGCCGCTCGGCTAGGGCTCCATGACCGGAATGCGCCTCCCAGACTCGGGATGCGTAACGAGTGCGTCCGGATTGGCTTCTAGCAACTGGATGCTTGACCAATGGCAACCTGACTTCTCTTGAGGGCAGACTCACTAGGTCTACAAGCAAGGTGACGTCTCCATGCGGAATCGACCGTTTTCAGCCGGTCGACCACGTCGGGCGACGCCGTTAAAGCATGCATGGCTGGCGGAAGCTGCGAATCCGACAGCTGACAGCTGACGGAAGTCTCCGAGCACCTTCTTGACCACTAGAGAAAGAGCATCCTTCCGCTTATTCTAGATCGGGGGAGAGAAAGTCCAAGAATCAGTTCCGGAAACTTGAATTAAGTAAAATGTTTTGGATTTGGGTCGTGGGTACAGCACCCCTCTCAATGTCCATCAAATTGAGTGACATAGCTACCTTCATAGGAGCTCCGAAAAGCTTCGTGTCCGGCGAGACTCGGGACTGAAGCGTAGGGCCCCGAGTCCGACTGAATCGGCCGTCCCGGGCTCTCGCCACCGACGCGTCTATTTT